AAAGCAAATGAAAAGCAACAAAAATGCCTTAATGCAAATATATCCTGATTTAATGTATGAAAAGAAATTATTTTACAATATCAATAGATATATGTTTTACTTCTTTATATTAAAAGAGAAATTTCTTCCATAAAATGTACTTTGAATACAAAATTAATAATTAATACTGAAAATGGGAAAAGAAGGTTTATTGTTCCACTGGGCTTCATAGTTAACATAATGCGTGAAAATTTGGAGTAATAGCTAAAAGCAGACGTCTTTTTCAAAATAACTATATTTTTTTTTTATTATACATACTTATTTCTTCCTCATATTTATTTCAAAATACATAACAGCAGCAAACCAGCATGCATCTATTTATTTCTTTACTATCAAGTCCGTCTCTTCACCTTTCAAGTCGTTGTTTATAAAAAAAAATGTTCTAATGTAGTGAAGTGAATTGTATAAATATATGTTGTGCTATGCATATTTATTTTATAATGTTGTTATAATGTATTATGGATATTTATTATTTTTCACACACATAGTAGTTGGAATATAATTTGTAAGTGTTTGTTTATATATGCAGATTGATATAAGATTGTGTATCAAAATCAAATAATGAATTTCCTATAAAAATGCCATAAAAACAGAAAAAACGGCCAAAGCTCAAGAACTTCTAATTTTTATGAAATTTGGCTCTGCATTTGACAGAAATTCAATGTACAATATGCTCATAAATTGGTTGGGGTATTATGTATCATTTACACTGTATCCCAGAAACACAGACACATGCATAGAAGATTAGAGTTTTCATATTATATAGATAGATAGTATGAGACATCTATAGGCAGTCATGGCTCACCACAACTTCTTTTCTAACTCTTAGCCCTGTTCATCTTTCTACTATCACTCTCACTCTCCTATTCATTGACATAAAGTATTTAGGTAGATTACTCACTCTTATCTCTGCTTCTCTTGTCTTTAATATGCCCTATGAGTTTTAAAGTCTCCAAACCTTCTTTCCTTATGTGTCCTAGAAATTTCAACACTCTTTCTAATCTTAAGTATATTTTTTGTTTCCATTTTCCTTACAACTTCCTTGTTGCTTTGTGACATGCATTAACCTTTGTGTTCATCTATTGTTAACCTTTATCACTCTCTATGTGACTCTGATTCCTGAATTTGTTTGAATTTCAAAGTGGTGTCATCATATCCTGCTATGGCAGCAGAAAACACCTTTGAGTGAAATTAGCAATAAGGTTACTGCAATTGAGAGGCCTTAAAAAAGAATGCTGTGGAAAGGGAAGTAATATTAATAATGCAAAGTGCTAAAGGTTAAATACAAAAAGAATCCAACCCAGTGCTCTGTCTGTGGTATTCTCAGCATTCTTTTGTAAAACCACATCTTTGTTACTTCAAGTCTCCTCTTCATCAGTACAGAAATTGTCCCGCATTCACTGATATATAGAAGAATTTATATTGAGTTCAGTACTTTTGTTTGTTTCTTGCAAATTTTTTCTTTCTCAGTTCTTGATTTAGCTTTTGGAAAGCATCTTTTGTTCTTTTAATGCACCTTTGTATTTTGGGGTCACATTTTCCGTCACCTGTTAAAAAATTTCCCAGATATTTAAAGAGAGTATTGATAAACCGGTTTAGTTGCTTCTTTGTTGCAATATTATCACTTTATGATAATATAATTTTTTTTATTACCCCCTCTTTCTTATTATTTTTTACTCTTATTTTAGCATGTTCATTTTTTATTGCTCTTATTTAAATTTATGTATTTCAGCGAGTTGTCTACATGGTATAACAAGTAATTAAAATAACTTCTAATGTTATCGTCTTAAACTTCCTCAGATGAAGCATTTCCGTTTCTGTTGCTTTTTATGACAACAATCTGATCATAAGTATTTTGTAAACATCATAGATCGGCAATAAAGACTTCATTTGCTGTACAAAAAGTTTATTCTGCCACAGAAGGTGACTCTACTCCCTGAATTTGTTTGAATTTCATAGTTGTGTTGTCATATCCTACTATGGCAACAGAAAAAATAACTTTGAGTGAAATTAACAAGAAGGATACTGCAACTGAGAGGCCTTGAAAGAGAATGCAGTGGAAAGAGAAGCAATATTAATAATGCAGAGTGCTAAAGCTTAAATAATCCATAGAGGTTGATATGCCACTAAACAAAATCAACAAATCAACAAAAATGAATAACTTGGTGGTGTTGAAATTTTCTGTATCAAGCTAGATAAAAAAATATTATGTATTATATTATATATGCATTATATAATTTCCATGTTGACTTATTCATCAGAAAGTTTCCTTTTCAATTGTAGACTTGGACCTTGAAAGTTCAGAAGATTCTTCAACTGAAACAGAAGACACAGAAGATGCTAAGTCGACCACATCCTGGGAGGATATGAGTAAGCTCGATCCAAACATGTTATTGTACAAGGCAGCTCAAGCCCGAAATTTACCTGTCATGCTGGAAGCCCTATCCCACGGAGCCAACTCTAATTGGGTAAATGATGATGATGAAGGAAAAACACCTCTTATGAAAGCTGTAGAAACAGTAAGTCTATACTAAAGAATCTGGTAGATTTTGTTTCTTATTTTCAGACACAGTTTATATTTGCACCCTTAGCCAAAAACACAATGTGGGATAGGACATGGAAGGACTTCCTCTTTTATGACTGAGGAAAACTGCCGATTTGATAAATTCGTGGACAGCTAACAGGCTTTAAATCTTGTCCATTTTGGTTTGATTTCTGTTAATTAGCCAAGATTTTTAAGTTAAATCTTACAATTATTTACACTATTTAAATTTTTTGGACAGTTGTCCTCATATTCATTGCCATATTCACAATATTTTGGCCATTGTATACTCCAGCTTCTTCAGGGGATTGGAATTTTGAACTGAAACCTTTATTTCATTTACCAGGATAGATTGTTCTAGTTCTACGTGCTGTACCTCTTCTAAATGTTTCAGTATCAATTATCTCCCTTTAACTCAACTCTTCAAGTTTTTGTTCACTTCTGCTCTAGCCAAGTATTGAACTCACAACTCTTTGGGTCAAATCTCTGGATTCAACCAATGGTGTTATCCACTGCATCCTTGAGGCCAAAACATTTGTGAATATGGCAACGAAGATGAGAACAACAGTCCAAACAATGTAAATAGTGTAAATAATTACAATACTTCATCTCAGAAATATAGACAGATATTGATTTCTGTTAATTAGCCAAAATTTTTAAATTAAATCTTATAAATTTGATAGATTTTTTTTTTTTTTTTTTAATCATTTCACTCCTCGCAAGGGGTAACTGAGTGTCAGAGAATATGAGAAAAATAAACTATTAAAGTGAAAGACCAATAAAAGAAGAATAATTAAGAAGACAGAAGGTAATGATTGGTATTGCATTTAGATTTTTTAAAGATCAAAGTTGACTGGGAAGCAAGAAGCTGGAAGAGAGTCCCACAAGTGAGAAGTGCAAGAAAAGAAACTGTTAATATAGAACCTACAGTTGCATCTAGTTATTTCTACACATCTTCCTTCTTCTTATGTATAATTTATAATTGTTTAAGCTGGTCCCCGAAGTTAAGCAACATCAACCCTGGTCACTACCTAGATGGGTAACCACTTGGGAATACCAGGTGCTGTAAGCTTGGATGTGCAGGTGGTGTAATGGATAATGGCTCAGAATTGTTAACTGGAGAGCTGAGTTCCAATTCCAGTTGGGTTCATTATATTCACTTATGTTCAAATACCCTTAACTCAGCTATGGGTTAACATAAACTTGCATAACTAAACCATTATTATCTCCCAAAAAAACATTTACAATCTAAAAACATTTTCTGGCTTTAAATAACCTTCAAAGGGTTGATAAGCTGTAGAAAATTAATCAACGAAATACAGATTAACTACACAGTGATGGCTTTTAGATTTCATTTTCTGGAATATAAATGTATAGAATCTACCTTGGCCACAAAATGAGGGATCAGTTTATATATTGATTGTAATATAGAATTGATCCTCTACTTTATCTACACATTATAGCTTAATGTTTATTTATAAAAATTCTGAGCGTCATGGGTAAGACGAGAAACTACATCCAACAGTAAGGCCTGATCAGGAGGCATTGAGTAGTGTGGAACCACCTCTTAATTGCTGGTGTTCCCTGACCCGGGGTGGTAGCACATGTTAGGGTCCCAGCTATGAGTAAATAATTAATCTCCAAACTGGGGTCAAAACACTATGAAAGTATAAAAATAGATTTTAATACCAGCAACATTTTTTTTGTAAAAAAAAAATGAACAGCAATAAATTTTTGAAATAAAATAATATATTTTTGAAAAAAAAAATATTACCAGTAATATATTTTTGAAAAAAAAAAAAATATTACCAATAATATATTTTTGAAAAAAAAAAATATTACCAGTAATATATTTTTGAAAAAAAATATTACCAGTAATATATTTTTGAAAAAAAAAAAAATATTACCAGTAATATATTTTTGAAAAAAAAGAAAAAAATATTACCAGTAATATATTTTTGAAAAAAAAGAAAAAAATATTACCAGTAATATATTTTTGAAAAAAGAAAAAATATTACCAGTAATATATTTTTGAAAAAAAAAAATATTACCAGTATATATTTTTGAAAAAAAAAAAAATATTACCAGTAATATATTTTTGAAAAAAAATATTGCCAGTAATATATTTTTGAAGAAAAATATATTGCCAGCTAAAAAAATCTTGTTGGCATTAAATAACCCATTGAGGTTGATATGGTATAAAAGAAAAACCAAACCAATCAAATTCTGATTATGCATGAATCCACCTCTTCTCCATCTAGTTAGGAGTTAATTAGTAAGACTTATATCATTAAAACATTATTATTTCCCCACCCCCAAATTCTTACAATCTAAAAATATCTTCTGGCTTTAAATAAGCTGCAAAGGATTGATAAATGGAGAAATCAATCAATCAATTAACAAAACCAATCTAGTAACATATTTTAATTTCTCTCACTTTTTTATGAAAGTTTTTGTTTTTCCCCATATCTGGTATCTGTCATTTCATGACTGGTTATTTATTTCTGTGTAGGCATAATGCAACTCTATATGCATTTCATTTCAGGGTTCCATTGCAGCCTGTGAATTCTTATTGCTCAATGGTGCTAAACTTGATCGACGAGACCACAAAGGTAGATCTCCATTGCACCATGCTACTATACATGGGCATACAGGGTAAGTAATCACTATTAATCAAATTTAATAAATTATTTTACCGTTAATTTGGATTTTTGATTTAATAAAGAATTCTTATCAAAGAACCTGATAATTTCCAATTTTTCCTGCAAACACTGAAAACAGGGTTCATATAAGGATCTACTTGTCCTTGCATTTTTTAAATTTTCCATTTCACCTTAGTAGTTTTATTATCATCTTTTAAACTCCAAAAATATTTAGAAAGTGACGTGTCATTTCTATAAGTATTATTGGTGAAGACAAATGTTATGAATGTTGGAAGTGTACTCTGTTTGTTCTCATAGTACCTGTGTGTGTGTGTACACAGATATATATATATATATATATATATATATATATATATATATATATAGACAATAGGAAAACTTAGTGTAATATTTATTATATTATTAAAAAAAAAAAAAGCATTTATTCTTGATTAATATACATTAAATTATGTCACTTAGCATCCTCCATAATTTACCTAGACTTTTCGGTTAGCCTGATGAATATTTATGAGTGTTCTTAAACTTAAATTTTTTTTTTTATAAATACTTGTTGTAAAATAGAGTCCTTACATTTGCCTTGATAAAGCCCATCAGAGGACAAAACACATTCATATTGTCCTTTTACAGATATATTTTTAGCCATATCTGAAATTTTATATACATAATCACACCCATATATATATAATGTAATTTGAAAGCTTAAAACTAAAAAAAAAGAGTTGGAGTGTGCGTGTATCAATGCAAGTAAGTAAGTGGGGCTTGGTAGTTCAAATATCCTCTGCTTCTCCCAGGATCTCTTTTGTCCTTTCTTATTCTCAAATCTCTTCTTTCCTCTGTGTCTCTTAAAACCTTTCTCATATGTCCTTTTTTTATCTCTGACTAGCATGTTGCTTCATCAAGTTCACCAAAACAAAATCACATACTCTTATTTTCAGTCAAGTTTTAGTTTCTTACAACCTTCCCATAATTTGTCTCCCCCCCCCCCCGGTTTGCCGTAATGTCTCACTATAAAAGAAATCATCACCTGTCACCACTTTCCTTCTCTCCCACCATGAGGTTAGCAACATTCCACTTTTCATCTTCCTTTCATTCAAACTATATATATATATATATATATATATATATATATATATATACAATCTTTCTTAAAAAATCATATAATGAAAGTCATGTTGAACAGCAACTCTTTTAGATCCTTTCAAATTAATGTGTGAGTGTCCCCCCAGGGCACTATCTTTGGACCTATTTTGTTTCTTATCTTCATCAATGACCTTCTCGATGTCATCAGTTATTGAGTCAGTATCTATGCTGATGATGCAACTATTTTCTTCTGCCTTAATAGTAAGCCCAATAAAGTAAAACTGGTGGCTGATCTCAAAAATGACCTTCATTCTGTTGTTAACTGGGGCAAAGAATGACTTCTAAATTTTAACACCTCCAAAATGAAACTGCTATCTTTTAATCACCATAGAGAACCATTTTGATTTCCATCAGCATGTCTGATGCTGACCTCCAAAAGAGCAACTCATTGCACTTTTGCAGTCTTACATTCTCCACTGACATGAAGTGGAAGGGTTATATTGAAGCAATTGCTAGGTTTGCTGCTAGGAAAATCAGTTTACTGTGCCATAACAGACAATCTTTCTCACCAGATGCCATCTTGCCTGTTTATAGATCTACTATTCATTCAGGCATTGAATATTGCTGTCATATCTGGTCTGGTGCTCTTGCCATATATCTTGAGATTCTTGACAAAATCCAAAGAAGAATCTGCAATATTATTGGTTCTGACCTGGCATCTCAGTTTTAATCACTTTCCCACTGCCATAGCATAGCTTCCCTGTGCTTTTCTATACATATTTTCATGGCAATTGTTCTAATGAGATTTCCTCTTTGATACCTTGACATCATGAATTTAAGCATAGTATCAATTGGCAATTAGATCTTATCATTTTACGACTGAAAACGAAAAAGATGTAACCATGAGTTCTATTCTAATATTTCCTTCTCTTGCATTTCTTGCCTGCAAAACACTCTTCTGGCTTCTTACTTTACTGACAACTATGATCTTCAAAAATTGAAAAGCAACATCAGTCTCCATCTTCTGTCTTTTTGAAACCTGTTCTTTTATAGTCCCTTCCAAAGAGTGTATCCATGTTGGTTATAAAAAGCATCAATAATAAGATGGAATGAAACTAGTAATAAAATAATAGGAATAATGCAGAGTGGATCTGGCCAGAGGGTTGGGATAAAAAGCATCAATAATAAGATGGAATGAAACTAGTAATAAAATAATAGTAATAATTAAGACTGTATTAACAGAGAGTGCTGTGATTACAACCAACAAACTTTAGTAAAAATTAACAATAAAAATAGAAATAGTGAAAATGTTCTTTTTAAAAAATCATCAGACGATAACATATATAATATTTGTGTATGTACATCACACATAATCTTGATATTATCTAAGTGTAACAATCACTTTCAATAAATAAATAAACCTAGCTTTTATTATTATTTTGTTAAATTTTGAGAATTATTTGGGGCCAAGAACTTTTCAACATGTTAGTTACCAAAACCCATGATTTTGTGAAGTGAGTGACTCTGAGGCCTTTCCAGCCTTACTTTTGTCCTAGATCCATTGCTGATGTCCTAACCGTTATGACTCACAGAATCGGTGAGCCACTAGACAATCCATCATGGGTACAACTGTCTTAGATATATTAAACGCCTTTGACAATTTGTAGCAAAGCAGGTTACTCCACAAACTCTCCAGTTATATAATCCCTGGAAGAGTTTTCTCAATTGTTGTCCTTCCTAACACAAATAGCATTGTTAATGAGCCGTCTTCTGGAGTCCATGAAATCAATGCAAGCATTCCTCAAGGCTCTCTTCTTGGTTCTACCCTTTCTGTTTTAGATTAATGATCTGATGAAGGACACTCTCTGATCTTTAGTGATATCTATGCATATGATACAACAGTCATTTTAGGTGCACCTCCAAAAATTTAGGTGACCAGAACTTGGCAGCTAATCTATCCTTTGACAGTGCTTCCCATTCTCTTCATATTCCATTAATAAGAAGGAAGTTCCACTCTGACAGCTTCTTTCTAGAACAGACTCCCAAGAGGATATTTTCTCTATCACTACAATCTTAACCTCTTCAAATCTGTTATCTATCATACATATCGTAAACTACACTTTTACCTCCTCTTACGCTCATGCAACACTATCATTCAATCACCCTCTAAATTGAGTGGCTCCTAACCTCTTTGAGTCTAGCGTTAACTGTTATCGATCCTACATATCCTCATAAACTGCACTTCATACCTCCTCCTCCTTCCACTCATAAAACTACCTCATTCAGTAACCGTCTACCTAGAGTGGCTCTTGGGCCTTGTATTGGGTGAACATTAGTAATATATATGTCTCATTTTTCTACTTTTAAAATATTTATTTACTAAGACCATTTGTTTAAATTACTAAATACTTCTTGATTTGACTTGATATTTCTTTTGATAAATCTGAAATCATTTTTTTTTATTTATTTCTATTTTATAGCCAAGTGTGCCAATTTTTAAAGCGTGGAGCTGACAGACATGCAAAAGATGACGAAGGCAAAGTAAGTGTTTTATGAATCTCCTATTTCACTTTTATGGAAGAGTTTTTCACAAATTATTCTTTTGCAAGTGGAACATTAAACTAAGTCTCAGGATTATACAGCGATTCAATGCCAGTTTAAGTTCTTCATGGGATTCAGTTTATGCACCATCAGACCAAACATTATTAAATCTTATTTTTCATCTGCCGTGAGATTCATTTTCATTAAAGAAGTTGATTGGAAACTCTAAGAACTTGATTTCAGTCTCAATTAAACAAATAGTAAAATTTGTTTCTATAGCAGTTAAAAATCTGGGAACTATTTCTATCCATTGTCCACTACCAGAAGAAATATTAAAAAGGGTTTATGAGTATATGACATTGAGGGCAGATTCTGAGTATATGGCATTGAGGGCAGATTCTGAGTATATGGCATTGAGGGCAGATTCTGAGTATATGGCATTGAGGGCAGATTCTGAGTATATGGCATTGAGGGCAGATTCTGAGTATATGGCATTGAGGGCAGATTCTGAGTATATGGCATTGAGGGCAGATTCTGAGTATATGGCATTGAGGGCAGATTCAGAAGTATATGACATTCACCACACGGATTCTGGTATATGACATTCTGGCGAGGATGGATTCTGAGTATATGACATTCACACGGATTCTGAGTATATGACATTCACACGGATTCTGAGTATATGACATTCACACGGATTCTGAGTATATGACATTCACACGGATTCTGAGTATGACATTAAATATAACAAAAGCAGTAACTTTAGTTTAAATTCATTTTCTTTAAATAACTGATTTTTCACTGTTTAAATACAAAGCAAAATGTTTAGATATTTGCATAGTACCTGTCAAAAATAAGTTTATTCATAGCTGGATAAGAATTTCTTATACAGATTACTGTAGTATCTGTGTACTCTGCAAAAAAGCATTATACACTGTGTATGTTAGAGTTGGCCAAAAGGCATGAATGTCAACAATTTGAACAAGTTCAGTATACTCAAAACCTCAGTCATAATGACTTGTGACTTCATGCTATCACAACTCTCCACAGCTTCTGAATAGTTCTGTTTACTTAATTTTGCTCTCGAGGCTTAGATGAACATGTGGTATGGTTTTCAGGCACTATGTAAAGGTGTTGCTCAATGGGATTACTTCTGCAGAACAATGACATCAAGAAGTGTTAGAGTGGGCATCATTTCATGTCTGACAAACTAATAGTATGCTGTATAAATTTGTGAGTTCTAGTTTTAAAAGAGCAAAGCTCATCAGAACAATTACCTTGAAAATATTTATAGGAAAGGTGTAGTGAACCTATGTTATGATGATAGGTTATACAATAGGTAAATTACTATTTGAAAGATTTTTTTTTCTTAGAATATACATATTACTTTGTTTCCCAGTGTGTAATTTTCTTGAAATACTCTTTTCTGGCTTTGCTTATTTTTAAATATTGTCATTGTAGATTGGTTTTATTTATAAAAGTTTTAAAATACATACCTCCTCCTCTTTTTCAGGATGCTGAATCAATTGCTATAGATGCAACCAATGCAGATATAGTCACCTTGTAAGTAGTTGTTTCACTTAATTAATCTTGACACAGTTGCATTATCCAAAATACCATTGACATTTTCACAATATAAAGTCTTTATTTTTCTTTGTATCCTCTATAGTAATGCATCATAGCTTGATTGCAATTCCTTTAATATTGCTACTTTCTTTTAACCCTTTTTATTCCATCATTGATCATAGCCTGGCTCTCCCTAGTGGCACATAAGGTTAAAATATGACATTTTAACAATAGTCAATATAAAGCCTTTATTTTCCCTTAGATCTTCTATAGTAATGCATCATAGCTTGATTGTAATTCCTTTAATATTACTACTTTCTTTTAACCTTTTCATTACATCATTGATCATAGCCTCGCATTTGAAGTTTTTTTAAAGCATTTTTTTCTTTTCTTATAGTTAAACTTCATAAAATAACCTCAATTGATTCTGTTTTCATACACAAACAGTAAATTAATTCACTCAAACAGAAAGGCTATCTCTTTTTTTTCCCTTTTTTTTGTTTCTTTTTTTTTTTCTTTTTTTTTTCTTTTTTTTTCTTTTTTAACGGAAGATTTTTTTTTTTTAATGATCTCTTTTGGTCAACACAGTGTGTTTGGTGGGGCAATGGCTTAGGAAATGAAATTGGAAACCCAAGTTCAAATTCTGGTTGTGGTTGTTCTTATCACTTTAACAATAGAGAAAAAAATAATCTAACACTGCTTGCATTCTGTATCATAATCAGTTATCTTAACAAAAGTCTGGTTAAAGTTATGTCACTTATCATTTGACATAGAAAAGCATATGTGAACAGTCTTCACTGTCAGTCAGTGTCAGAAAAATAACTACTCTGTTCATTATCAACATAGACAGAGAAGTTATTTCTTTTTAATCATTTCACTTCAAGCAAGGCAATAAAGCCACTAAAACCCAAGGGGTTACTGAGTGTGAAAGAATATGAAACAAAGAAAAACATTAAGGATAGGGAACAATAAAAAACAGGAATTAAGAAGATAGAAGATAACAATAGATATTGCATTTAAATTTTTAAAGATCAAAGTTGACTGTAAAGCAAGAAGCCAGAAGAGAGTTCCACAAAGAAGAAGTGTGATAGAAGAAAGTGTTAGCATAGAACTTGCAGTTACATCTAGCCATTTCATTTGTCAAATGAGGATACCTAGCTGCCAATCTAGTACTGAATTTAAATTTCTAAAGTTGAGGCATCAACAAGGAAAGCTCATCAGAATAAGTACCATGAAAATATTTATAGAAAAGGCACAGGGAAGTGACTGAAGTGAGATGCCAGGTCAGAACTGATAACACTGACGATTCTTCTTTTTTTTATTAGGTGATTGTTGATCCAGGTAATAACCTGAATCAACAATCACCTAATAAAAAGATTCTGCTAATAACAACAAAAATGAGGATAATACTTTCAGTGTAAATAATAACTCCTCATCATCTAAACAGAAATTATGTCTGCTTTGCTTGTGACGGTTACACACCTGGCCCAGTGTCGGATCCTTTGGTTACGGGCGCTCCAACGAATAGTAACGTCGCTCCTCCTGGCTCCTCCTTTCAGGCACTATGTAAAGGTGTTGCCAATGGGCTTTGCAGAACAATGACCAAGAACCTTTGGTCAGATGATCATAAATTTAGAGTTCGCCTTTCCACGGCTTCCAATACCTGGTCACTAAACCTAACTATACCCGATCTCGGTCTTTCCACTTAGAATATACATGTGTTTAGATTTCCCAAGTGACAGACAGGACCAGCTTATTTTAAATATTGTCATTTGATTGGATTTATAAAGTCCGGACATACCTCCTCCTCTTTTTCAGGGCTGAAGATGGCAAAACACAAATAAAACAAAAACTCACGACACTAAACAAAATTGCTGATAAAATGCATCATAGGTAACAACCTTTTTATATCTTAATGTTTATTCCATAAAAAAACAAAATTGTTCTCAATTCCCGACCCGCTCTGTGGACTATGGCACCAAGCTTTATTTTCTATCACACAATAGAAAATGATTGTAATTCCGAATTACCTACTTTCTAGAATCATCATTGATCATGTCGGATTTGAAGTTTTTCATTTTTTCGTTAAACTGGGGCTAATTTCTGCTCGATCACAAACAGTAAATTGATTCTTCTCTCCTTGGCTATCTCCTTTTTTTGCTTTTCTTTTTTTCGTCTGCTTGGGCTTTTAGTTTTCCTGTTTTTTTTTTTGGTGGAAGATTTCTTGTGTTTTTCAACTTAGAAATGAAACTCTCTGTCAAATTCTGGTTGTGGTCTCTTCTCACTTTAACAAAGAAAAAAAAATAATCTGAACTTTAATTCTTCATAAAAAGTTATCTTAACAAAAGTTTTCGATTATGCTGTCTGCATCTTCAATTCTTCTCAGGCTTTCAGGCATTTCTTCTTCAGAAAACGGTCAATCTACTTGAAAGAATATGAAACATGTCAGAAAAAGTTAAGGATGTCTTCGACTTGGGCTGGATAGAAGATTTCTTGTCTGATGAGGATTCTTCTGCCTAAAGTTGAGGCATCAACAAAGGGCGAAAGTAGAAAAGGCACAGGAAGTGGGCCTGCCAGGTCAGATGGCGATTGTTGATCAGGTAATAACCTGAATCAACAATCACCTAATAAAAAGATTCTGCTTAATAACAAAAAATGAGGCCCAGTGTAAATAATAACTCCTCATCATCTAAACAGAAAGTTCTACTTTGTCAACTCTCATGAACGGTAACGTCGCTCCTCCCAACTGCAACTCCAACTGATTTCTGTCGACTGGGGTCTGTGTTGATCTTAGAATAGGACCAAGAGGACAAGCAGTCCGAGATTTGGGCGGCAAACACTGCAACAAACTGGGGTGGGTCTGCCGTCAGGGTTTTTTCGATAATTCCAAAGCTGCATTAATTCTGTCTTCTCATTATCGCTATTGTTTTTTCACCCCTACTTGGTGGAAGATTTCTTGTTTCTCCCCTTCTCATAGTACTTTACCTTTGGTGGGGCGGCGCACATCCATCTCTCTTAGTCTCTCGTATGTCAGGTGACCGCTTTAACCAATGGTTTCCTGATCGGCATTTCTTTCTTTTCTTTTCCGCAGCCACGTGACCGTTTTTCGGCTAATGGGATTCTGGTTGAGCATTTCTTTCTTTTCTTTTCTGCAGCCACGCGTGACCGTTTTCGGCTAATGAGATCCTGATTGGGCGTTTCCTGCAATCAATCGGGCGGGCTTATATCGTTCTTGTTCTAAAAAACAAAATCTAATTTTCCTTTTTTTCAGAAAAAACAAAAAAATGACCATCTTGGCCTTCTCTCACCTGGACTTTGTCAAACAGCCCGCCGCTAATTAGTCTTGACTTTAGAAAGGATCTTTTCCGCCTTCTTGGCGCCCTCCGTGAGCCAAAAGCAACTGTCCCTCTTTTTTTACCTCTTTGTTTTTCCTGATAGTCAAAAAATCTTAATTATCTACATTGAAAATGTCTCCACTTTATTAACGTGGGTGTCCAATTCTTAACAGGTCAGGATCTGTATAGAGTTCCACCGTAACTCCCTCAACCCAAAAACACTTTTCTCTGATTAAAAAATTTCATTTCTATTGTTCTAAACCAAATTGATAAGGAGTCTCTCTCCAAAAAAGTCGGTCAGATGCTTTGACGATATCTGGTCTACATCAATGACCCGTTTTGATATCATGTCTTTTTCCCTTTCTTTCTTCTTATTATTTATAATTCTATTCTTCCAATTGTCTTTCGAAAATCGCCAAGACGCTGACCTAAATCTCTTTCTGACTCCTATCTCCACCCTCAATTGGGTCATGCATCATACAACTCTTTTTCTCTCTTCTTCTTTCTTTTCTTTTTTTTCTTTTCTTTCCTTCTTCTTCCCTTAAGATCGTCTAGTACAATCTTAGTGAATTATTTTCAACTCAGTTATTTTCCGTTTTAAAAAAAAATCAACAACCTGTTTAACCGAGTAAGAAAAAATTAAATCATATTTCTATGAATATTTCTAATAATGCAAGGTGCCACAGCTGATGTTACCCATAATGTTTGTTGGTTAAACTATGTGACCAATTGTAATAAACCAGTAGTGAATTTGTCTTTTTATGTCTGTCATAAAAGTTGAAATTCTCATGAAACCGTTTTCATGTTTGAACTGATGTGTGTTTCTATTAACTGCACTCTCTGTATAGGTGAGCATTGTATAATCTTCCTCTTTTAAACAGTATATTTTTGATATATCCTCATAAGTCTAAAAATCTCCATATTTATGCTTGGTAAATAACTATTATGTTTGACTTTATATAGAATATGTCTGTTAACCATGTACACTACCTGTGTGTTTATGGCCACAGCCTCTCTACATTAGATGCAACCCTTGATAATAGTTTTAGGAACTCTTATGCAGATCTAAAAAGTGATATAAACAGTTTCATTAAGCAGAGGTGACAGAAGAGCTGGACCAACAACACAAATAACAAGCTTTGTACAATTAAACTAGTCCTTGTAGAATGGGGGTGGGTATCTAGAAAAGGAAGAAAGGCTGAGGTAATGTAAACTTGGCTACACATAAGCCACACATACCTCATCCATTTTTCTTGCTGAAGAATGAAGATCAATCAACATGTACACCATGTCAAGCCACACTAATGGCAAAACATATTTTAACTGAATGTACTTATTGGTTTATTTAGTTTTGTGGCACATCAACCACAATGGGTTATTTAATACTGACAAGATCTTTAGGATAGGTTTGTATGAATAGAATATGTATTCTTTGTTAGAAATCAGTACACATATTTCTTACAAAGAAGACATATTCTGAATGTACTTACTTAGCACCTGTAAGACATAAATAATACAAGGAAAACAATATGAGAAAACTATTTGAAAATACTGAAGCCAACAATATAATGTCCTACATTAAAGAAATAGGTTTATACAAACACATATAACACCTACAAAATATAATGTACATACTATATATCTATAAAACATATATTTACCCTGA